CATGGATCCACCATTGCGAGCCCGAGAGTAAACAGCAGAGTATGAAATGGAAACATCCACAATCGTCCAGCAAGAAAAAGTTCAAAAGCCAACCGTCTGCGGGAAAACTGATAGTTACAGTTTTTTGGGACTCACAAGGCCCAGTACTGGAACATTATCAGGAGAGGGGCACAACAATAAACAGTGCTCATTACAGTGAGATACTTACTGACTGGCTAAAGCCTGCAATTTGAAGCAAACGCCGAGGACTACTGTCGAAAGGTGTTGTGTTGTTGCACGACAGTGCCCGTCCACATACTGCTGAAACCCTCCGGAAACTCAAGTTTGATGTAAGGGCTCATCCTCCGTATAGTCCTGATCACGCTCCTTCTGACTACCATTTGTTTGGTCCACTCAAAGGGGCATTAATGGGCCGTCGATTCACCTCGGACCAAGAAGTGAAGGAAGCGGTGCATGTGTGGCTCACTGCTCAGCCGAAAACCTTTTCTGAGGGCATCATGAAGCTTGTGCAACGATGGACCAGGTACGTTGAAAAGCAAGGGGACTATGTTGAAAAATGATGTTAATGTAAATTTTCTGTTTGTATTGAAATAAAATTTATAGCTACATTACGGATAATTATTGACTTACCTACGTATATTTGACTTGTGGGACAGAAAAATCAGGGAAACCTCTGCTGGTCTCCAGATTTAAATTCAAACCAGAACCTCCCAGTTATGAGGCAGAAGTTCTTTGCAGTATACTGCAACATTCAGTAACTGAACAGGACTTATTTGAGGCATATTTAAATGTTGGTCTCCTGTAAATATTAACACTTTGTGGACTGGCAATATAAATATTTAAATCACCCTGGGGACCGCTATTTTTAAACCTACTACCCTAACTTGTGCACTGTTCACTTTAAAAATTAATATAAAATCTCCTAATTAATTTTATGAACTAAAATTTTTGGAGAATACTTGCCAATGCTCCTAGAAGTGCTTGAGAGTGTGATATTTCTGGAAACATTCCCCTTTGTGAAGTGGCATTATACAGAACTTGCAAATGTAGGCAGTCATACGCCTTTTTCTGTGAACTGCGCAAGCACGACATTGCCTAGAAGGATGCTTCCCCTTGGAATTTTCACTCTTCACAATTTTCACGAGGGTATGTTTCCGCATATAACCCAAGAGTCGCCCAGGGGGTCCACATGAGGTCTGCAAGGGGTGGGAGTTGATGGTCCCGGTTGCACTAAGTCTGTGTCTGACTCGTTCTGCCGCCACCATCTGGTCTGTAGCCCAAGCCTTTGCCACATTCATCAGAAATGCTTTGTATTTCAATTTCGAATCGGGGTTTAGATTTTTGTAAACCAAAAAATGAATTAAATATGGCACAATTTATAAGCCACAAGGCAACTTTCTTTGTCCACTTTATTGTTTTCCTAGGAAGAGAATAATAGGCCAAGTATTGATTGACTCTATCAACTCCCTTCATGAACATATTATACTCAGAAATACAAAGAGGCTTCTATACTTGTCCATGTCTCCTTTGAACATCAACCATGCTCGAATTGTGAATTGTGGAAATCATATTCACAACACAAGTATCTCTGTCTCCAAAAAACAGTTCTGCTACTTCAGACACTTGCGTTGGATCCGATGGAATTTATTTCACCCCTGAATTTCCAGTAAACTGTCCCAAAGTAGGCATTTTGTCCACTTTTCCCCATGTGGCTGTACTCGCAATTTTACTAGCTGCACTTTCCTCAGAGCTACTTTCACTTTTATTGTCTGTGGCCACAATTGTTTGTTGACCCCTGTCACTGCCACTGTCTCACTTTCACTACTCCTCTCAGAAGGAACGTCAGATATTTCTTTTTCTCCGAGATATTGCTTCATCTTCAACCATTTCTGTCCTTGATTCATATTACACTAACTTCCTGCCTGGTACATAACAGCTTGAAGGGTCAAAGATTATTTGATTATTTTCCTTTGGAGTGGGAACCAATACAGCCAGGTCAAGTTACTGCCTACTAGGCAAACATTCCGGAGTAATATTACACAGTAGTCATTCATTTGGGTGGCGCCAGAGAAAGCTATAGTGTGTTACAATCTAACATGTCCTAAAATCATGATATCATGCGACCGGTCCGCCACATTTAAAAGCCAAAAGCATGATATCATGCGACTGGTCCTCAATGTGTTAAGTCCAGAAAGGGAACATGGCCATCTATTTCCATCTCCATGTTAAATTCGATGGATTGGTGGACACTTCTCAGTTGGTCTATAAGGCCAGATCACAAAAAAATTTTCATATGAAACCAGTAGCATAATTTCCTCCAGGTACTTCACAAAGAAATTAGTAATCACAGGCAGAAGTGGCAAGCAATAGCCACATCATTGGTTTGTTTATAGAACTGACCCCAAAACAGAAGCCTGGAGGACTTGAGGCATGATGAAAGAGTCTCATGACATCTTGACTAAAGTGTTGCATGAACAAAATTCCAAAGACATCTCCAGTTTTCCCCACAGTGTGTGCAGTTCAGATAAGTAGTTCTGCACAGTACATGTCCCATGTATGATGCATTTATGATTCAAATTAGGGGTCCAAAATTGTTGCTATGTATTTACATTGCACTCTCACTGAAAACACAGCTTCCTCTATTGTTGCATGTTGGACTGTGTATATAGAACTGTTGCCTGGCAACGCACTTATCAAATCCATTACATTGCTCCTTCCTTAAGGCTGCTCGCCCTGAGTAGCCTAATGGTGTATCACCATTCCTTCTTTCAGAGGTTTCTGCTTGTGACATCTCACCTTCTTCCCATTGGTCATATTCTTCTGTGTTCAGTCTCAAACCACTACCACTGCTTCCTCCTTAAGGTCATATTGTTCCGAGCAGTTCCCTTATAAGGCTGCAGTTAGTCCAGGTTATCACCACCATAAAAAGGTTTTCCTCGCCTTTCTCTCTCTCTCTCTCTCTTTTTTTTCCCCCAACAGTGGAGAAAAACTATCCTGAATGGTTGGCACTCTCACCTTTCTGGCTTTTCTTGTGCTAATGAAGCTAGTGGGTTTTTTCTTCCTCTTTATAGGTGGCCGACCCCTCCACAAGGTCCAGTTCCTCATTTTCCACAACTTGCTGGACATCCCAGTTGCTTGCTTCACGAGCTCCAGTCTGATTATCTTCCTGAGAGTCTCATTAACATTTACTATGCTTTCCTGTTGTAGTTTCTTCAGGTCTTGTTTTCTCAGATATTGCAGCACAGACTCCCTGAGTGTCTGTATTCTCTGGATCCCTCACCCATCCTTGGCTCTGGTCCACTTATTTCTGACAATGTTCCTCTTGTGCCATGCCACTCTTTCATGGTGGGACACCTTCCTACCTCTTATCTAGAATATTATCTTTGGAGGCATTTAACAAAGCACACAGTCAGGATTACTGAGTTTTTGGACTTTGCCCATTGCCTGCTATTCTAAAGGCCACAATATTTCAGAAACAGGTCCTGTTTCCATCTTCAAGTGAGGGGGTGAGAGAGAGACTGTTGGGTCCATTAGAAACAGATCAGTTTCCAAAACGTGTTCTTTGATGTTCTTTAGAATACCAGATGATGGATGAAGTCCAGTAATCCCGACCATTATACACTGCTGTCAGAACCCTTTAGAATCTAAAGCACAAACTGTGTATCACAGAATATATAAAAAGTTTATGCAGCCTGCTGTAGTATCTTCACTCACCTCCAGCTAGTGCCGAGGTCAAAATGTGAATCTGTGTCTCCTGTGTATGCATATATCTTGATAGCAAGGTCAAATATAAAATGATGGACTGGTGTGCTGTTAAAGATAACATTTCATCTGCACAAGTTATGTAGGATGTGAATGGCGAATTCAAAAGGATGCGCAAACAAGTGTTTGTGGGGTAGTTTTAGGCTCTAAGCATTTACCTGAATGCACTGAGGAAAAGCATGAAGAGCCTTTGTTAGGATAGCTTTTTACCAGGCTTAAATACTTAAATACCTTCCCATTAAAAGGCAGAGTGCTAATCACTTTGAAAAACACAAAATTTAATTTAGCTGTTTTGTTGCAGTGGACTAGTAAAGTAAAGTTAAGTTGTCCCTGTGCTTAACTAATTAAGCACTATAACAGGAAGGCATATGTGGGAGTGGATGTATAGATCCACATTTTCTTGTCCTCAACACTACCTGGAGGTGAGTGGACAGCTTCACGCCCCGGCCACTTTACCCCCAGGGAAAGAGCCACTGGTACCCATTGAATAGGAGGTGGACCACAGAGCCGGTGTGGATGACATGGAGAAGAGAAAATTCTTGACCCTTCTGGGACCCAAACTCAGACCCCTCAGTTGTTCAGCCCATAGCCAGTTGCTATACCGACTGGTACTAAAATTCATTCTGCAAGTTTATATAGCCCAAATTCCATTTTTTTTCGGTTTAATGATTTAGGAGATGAAATATAAAAACTGACACACTTAAGCTTTCTGTTTTTGCCACCTAAGGAGGACCCTATATCTGTGTCCTAGCTTTCTATCCAAAACATCAGCGGAATCAGGAGAGTCAAGGTCAAAATGGTACAAACAGTGACAAGCTTTCGTCATTTGAAGAAGGATGATCTTGAGGGTATTGGGCAGTTTCCTTAATTTGCGCTTCTCCATTCAATTACATGTGTTCAACTAGTGGCTGATAACAGTTCTCGGAAATTGCGGTTGCGTTGCGGTTGCCAGTTTCCTTGGTGTGTCCTCGTCCATAATATTGAAATTTGTGCTTGATAATAAAGACCATAAAGACTGAGTTAATCACCAGGATCACCAGTGTATATCAAAAAGTCAATAACCAATGGTAGGATCCGAATGAATTTCTTTGTCAGTCTATTCACGGTGATAAATCACCTAAGTGTCCATGGCGTAAGTGTTGTAGTCTGTATCCATGACGTATTCATAGGGAACAGGTTAATTAGTTGCTTCAGATCCGTGAGATATTCGATCATGCGACACGTACAGATCAGTACTGACCAACGTTACCCGTGATGCATTGCATGACGTGTCATGGTGTGTTTTAACGTTACGTGTTATTTGTACTTTCGTTTTTGTTAAGAAGAACTTGTCGGCTTTGTGTTAAATGTTAACCGGTCGTTTGTGTAATTATATGACTCCTATTTGTCATATTGAAAACGGACAGGCAGTATATCTTTAAACATAATTTAGCAATATGATTTTGATGGAGTGTTTAATTTTATGCACTTTGGTAATCATTTCGTCTTCAAATGGCTTTTATTTACCGGGTTTGGCACCAGTTAATTATTGCAAAGAGAAAGATGGAGCTGGAACCAAAACTTGTAAGGTAGTGTGACACTGTTGACTGTTAATTTTTGTTAAGCTGGATGAAGGTGTGTTTTAAAACCAACTCTTGCATCGTGACATTTTCATGGTGTTGGTTTTTCCATCAAGTTGCCTTGTTTGTGGTGATTTCACCACGGGAGCGAAAGTTTCAAAATAGTCTGTTCCTTCTGTTTGGCTACAACCTTTCGCCACCAAACGTGCTCTGTGACATGCGACATTTCCATCAGCATCTCGTTTAATTTTGAAGACCCATATTGATTTCACTACTGGCTTATTTGACGGTCTATCCACTATTGTCCATGCTTCATTTGTTTGGAAAGCTTCTAGCTTTCTTTAGATTTATCGGAGCTTGACAGTGCCTCTTCATATGTGACTGGTTCTGACTCCTCATCTTTATGCGTGGCTGAGTAGGTAACAAAAATCCGGAATTTCTTTCTGTTTCCTGTTTCGAAGTGGATATCTTCTTTCTTCCAAGTTTCCTTGTAACTGTTCTAAACCGTCTGTCCCTAATGGAACTTCATTTCCTTCGTCTTGTACTTGTTCTTCTTCAGGATTTTGTTCTTGCGGAATCATTGCTTCATCTTGTGAGTCGAGGTAGAAATTTATCGACATTGGAAGAATATCTTTAAGCTGAAATCCTTTCTCACTTTCTTTCTTATTTGTTATTTCTTCTTCCAGAAATTCTACATCTCTTACCACAATTATTTGAGACGGACTGCGGGGATCTGATAACCGATAAGCTTTACTTTCCTCACTATATCCCATAAAAATATACTTCTTGCTCAGAGCATCCAGTTTTTGGCGTTTCTGTGATGGTAAATATGCATACGCTGGACATCCAAAAATTTTTATATGGGAGAGATCGATCGTTTCTCCTGTCCATATTTCTTCAGGCAATTGATTCTTTAGTTTCTTGTGAGGTGATCTGTTTAAAAGATATACGGCTGTTTGAGATGCTTCAGCCCAGTATCTTTTGTCGCAGCCGGAATCATGCAACATACATCTTGTTCTTTCCAAAATGCTGCGATTAGCTCTTTCGGCAGTTCCATTTTGTTGTGGATTATACGGCACAGATAATTCCCTTTTGATTACCTTTTGTTTTAACATGTCATTGAATTATTTGCCGCAAAATTCACCACCATTATCGGAACGAACAGCTTTTATTGTCAATCCAGTTTCTGTCTCAATCATTTTCATAAATTCTTTAAAGGCTACATATGTGTCACCTTTTTGTTTCAAGAAGTGAATGAAGATTTTTCTACTATGATCATCCACAATAGTCAAAAAATATTTAGCATTCCCATAAGAAGGTACTTCAAATGGCCCAACCAAATCTAAATGCAATAGATCAAGTATTCTTTTTGACCGTTTGTTCTTT